AAATATTCCTGCACAACAACAACGACAGGAGCATTTACACGTGGTTTCCATTGTCCTGCATTTAACCTCTCAAATATATTTTGGGGGAATACTTTATTTACATTTTTTTATAAAAAAGAATATGGTTTACCTTCTTCCTAAAGATGACCGCATGTCAAAACACTTCCAAATCTAAATATTTCATAAAAGAGAATCTGCATAATAAATAAGGTATACACGTTAAGTGAAAGAATGACGTAAAAGATGTTCTGAGTGTTCACAGCTATTTTATAACGGGCTACAGGCAGTATCTTAGTTTTCAGTGGTTTACCGATCTTGGTAAGTGCTAGCCAAGTTTCCGCTGCGTATTTACTCAGAGGACAACTAGGCGAATCATACACGTGTTGTTGTTAATACTAAGAGTTTGCATGCTGCCATCTTCGCCATGGCACGGTGCACGCTCCGAGGGCTAAAGCACCCTCTACGAGCCTCCGGCACGCTGAGAGGGGCGATGGCTTGGTGCCGGCTCTCACCAGGAGAACTATTTTAGTCACTACACTAAAATGCCCTCCAAGAAAAGTGGTTGTGTCTCTTCCTGGTTGCATCCAAAATTCAGATGCTTTCTAATACCATGGCCAATTCTTATTTTTCATACACTCTTCCTAGCACGAGCTGTTCAAACATGGGGTTAATTCCTCCATTTTGTATAAGCCGCATCTGGTGTTCTCATCAGCAGTGACCGGTGGGACATGTTCTCCTCCTGTAAGGAAAAGAAAATAGCAGGTCTAAATTGTTCTCAGGGAAATAGGGATGGTGGCAGCGGCCACCTAACATCGGAGTGACGAAATGTTTCCCCCGTTACGGAGTGTGTTAACATCTTGCTGGAGCGTGTGGCCACAGCAGTGATGGTGCTAGTCAAAGGCAGCTGACCGGAGAATTAAAATAGTTGGGTTTCGCAGTGTGCGGGAACTGGGAAGCTGATATGACCCCACAGCCATCTAGGTCTGAGCAAGATCGCCAGCATTTACCATTCCTCAGAGACAAGAGATCACTTTCTGCAAACCCAGGAAGCCCAAAAGCTTGAGCGGTGCTAGAGGTGCAGGGGACACTATCGAACTCTGCGTTCAAAACACTGAAAGTCGGATGCGAACAAGAGCTGACCAGCTTGCCAACCGCACGGGAGCGACGGTTGACCCGCTTGTATCTGCTTGTTTTCTTTTCCAGAAGGTGCAGAATCCCAGGGTGACATTTTCAAAAAGCAAAAAAAGAGGAGCAGCGGCGCCGGCAGAGAGAGGGAGGAAGAGCAGGCACCCACGGACGGAGCCCACGGCCACTCGGCTGCACAAACCGCCACGGAGCCGTGGATTCCCGGTGGGAAACCCGAGCGAGGAGCACCGGGGTGGATGTCACACGTGGAACGGCAGCCAGAACGGTGATGCAGCCGCCCTTTCATAACACATTATTAAAACTGTTATCTTTCTTCTCTAAACTAACTTGAGGGAGGTGTTCATAAAAGATTACTGTGGTTCTGTGTTTTATCAGCCACGGGTTTATATCCTCAGTGGTTTCAGGGTGGCCGTAGCTGCTGCTAAGGTCAAACTGCCCCCTGCTCGTGTGTTTTCTACCTCCCCACTTCAGAATTCTCCCTCAGACTTTTTCCCCTGGGTGACTTTTACCTGTGTAAAAGGAGACTGCAGATACCACATCAGTATTTAATGAACAGCCTGTCTGATGTGCCAAGGCCATAAACCTTTTTTTTACGAAGGAAAACATTTCCAAACATCTTTCTTAGCTGCAGTATTAAAAAGTTTAACACGGATAAAAGTAGAAAGGCTTGCAAAACATGATGCAAACCTCCTTGCGCACATATTTTTTTTCCATTATCTTACATAAAGAGCGAACAACTTGGGGACAGAGCGACAGAAAAAGGGACACAAGTCCAAATTATCCAGTTTCTGAGATGTAGGCAGGTTATGCAGCGTTGGCCACTGGAGCAATGCAGCAGGTTTTCCTTTTTTATTTTTAATTTTCTTGGCCTTTTTAATTTTTTTCACCTTCAGGAGCCCTTTCCCCACCAGCTGAAAGCAAAAACCAACTTCAAATCGAGGAGGGCTTGGGTCTGTGTTGCTTGTTACTTTCTCAAAAGAAGGCACACCGTTACCATGCCGCCAAGGAAAATGATGGGCTTTGAGCACTCTGATGGTTTCTCCATTAGAAATTTAGCTTGTGCCCGGTCAGTGAAAGAAGTAAAGACTGTTAAAAACACAGAAATGCACCCTAAAAGCCATACTCTTCAACCGGACTAGCGAGACTCATGGTGTAGAAAATTCTGAGAATTTTCTTCATTCACACCAACTTAATTGCCTAGAGAACATCTGGAGAGAAGACTGGCCACTCACGTACAGTGTGAGTAGTGACAACTCGCAGTTCTGAGAACACTTCCTAGATCCTCCATCAAAACCAGGGGCGGTTGCAGCTTAAATATAGAAAAAGGAACCGTTTTTCCAGTTCCTTTCAGAACTTTGTCACCCGTCCCCAAAACACAAAAGTGATAGAGATCCAATTCTTTTATTTTTTAAATATAGGTAGTAGGTGACCTTTAAAGTGCACTTTCACCTGCTGGTACTTCCCAACAAGGGCGAACATGCTCAGAAATTGTGAGAAACTGGAAATTCAAAGGCGAATCAAATGGCAACAGCCACAAAATTGGACAAGTATCAATATTTACTGGGCAGGAGTTAGCACAGTGGGTACTGTTACACAAAACACATGATTTTTTCCTCGAGTATTCAGCCGCAGTTCACTCGAAGGACTGCTGTACTCGCAAGGGCGAGCGGCTGTCGTGCAGAACCGTCGGCTGGATACCACAGAGGCTCGAGTGCTCTTCTCACGCGGCTTTTCTAAAGGGCAAGTTTAAGGGCGCTGGTTAAAAGCTTTGCCTGGAATAAAGCTGAGGTGCTAATGAACAATATGAGACCTATCAATGTTCTACACAGCGCTTAGCACGTTTTCACGTGCTTTTATGCGCTGGGAAAACCCTGCGTTTTCTTTCTTTCTCCTTTGAAGTGTTCTTGCGCGGAGAACTGAAATCTACGGTAGGCGTTAGCGCGGCGGTGGTTGGAGTTTTCCGCAAGACACCTGGCTGCCATCGCACTCCGCTGCTCACCCGACGTCAGCTTGCTGTAGAGAGCGAACAAAATGTGGAAACTGCTACTTCACCGAACAAGAATCCGCGTTAAAGTTCCTGCTGCGAACATGCGCTACGCTCTACCGAGGACAGAAACAGGTGTTTATTCCTTCCTACATGAATTATTTGATCTCTTCTCTAAATCCCCTTCTCAGGCCAGTACATCTCCATGTAAATCCCATGCTAAAATTTTACCTACAGAAAGCATATATTGTACGTCTGCTGGCTGGCCCATGAAATGTCCATAATTAAATTTCATGAAATCTACGGGTTTTTATATATGTTCAGACACTCTAAGAAATAAAATAGAAACAGAAGAGTTCTGGCCAACTTCTGTCGGCCTACAGACTTATTAGGTATTCCAATCCAAGGAAACCAGGAATGTAAGTATTCCTGTCCAAAAATATCCTGTTAAGACTATTTAATTTTAATCACAGCTGCGCTAAAAAATACACAGTTCTCTTACACCATCCGATCGTCCTTCCCTGGTATGATGGAAGTACGTTTTTCATGGTTTTTATTACAATCATCTTGAAGACAGACATGCCAATATCTGCGCATATTGTAAAGATTTGAAGTTCACATTGTATGTATCCATCACCAGTTACGTTACATACATCAATAACCCGCACGGGGCCGTTAGGCAACTATATTTAAACTAGGTGTATTTTAAACAGAGCAGGTAAGACGTGACAAGTTTATCTGGAGGATATTCGAGGCTGTGCTTGGGATGTGAACTGCAGGGGCCACAGTGACCGGGCTGTAGTATTAGCTGCTCGTGCACATATTAATTAACTTCTTATTCGGGGATCAATCGACACCACCGTTAGTTTTATTGACTTTACCATTAGCAGTATCTTACTTTTGGTTGAATAAAGCTTCTTTACCTAACACAAAATCTATCCTTTCCCGCCCGCTGCCAGCCGAGCTCGCCGCCGCTCCCTGCGGCGCTCCCCGGGAAGGGACCGGGACCCTGCCCGCTCCCCCGGCCGGCAGCCGCCGCCCGCGGGACCCACCGGCGCCGCCGGCTCCCCCCGCCGCGCCGCTTCCCCGCGGAGAACGGGCACGGCTCGCCGGCGGCCGCAGCTTCCCCGGCGAGGGGCCCGAGGGGGCTCCGGGGGCTGCGCCTCGCCCGCCCCCGCGCTCCCCGCGGCGCCCGGCTCCTTCCTCCGCTGCGCCGAGGCGGGCCCCTTCCCGCGGGCGCTGCCCGCCCTGCGGGGGCTGGGAGCGGGGCGCACCGCGGCGGGCGCCTTCTCCTCACCACAATCACTATGGCAGGCGCCTTCCCCCTCACAGGTACTCCCATGGCGGGCGCCTTCCCCTCACAGGCATCTCCGGGGCGGGCGCTTTCCCCTCACGACAATCACTATGGCAGGAGCCGTACCCTCACAGGGACCCCCACGGCGGGCGCTTTCCCCTCACAAGAACCCCACGGCGGGCGCTTTCCCCTCACAAGAACCCTTTGGCGGGCTCCTTCCCCTCACAAGAACCCCATGGCGGGCGCTTTCCCCTCACAAGAACCCCACGGCGGGCGCTTTCCCCTCACAAGAACCCCACGGCGGGCGCTTTCCCCTCACAAGAACCCTTTGGCGGGCTCCTTCCCCTCACAAGAACCCCATGGCGGGCGCTTTCCCCTCACAAGAACCCCACGGCGGGCGCTTTCCCCTCACAAGAACCCTTTGGCGGGCGCTTTCCCCTCACAAGAACCCCCATGGCGGGCGCCTTCCCCTCAGGGAGCGGGGTGCGGGCTCTGCCCGGGGCCGGAGGAGGGAGGCGGGCGGCGGCGGGAGGTGCAAATTCCCCCCCTTCCTCCCCTGGAAAATATTTTGAGCCATTACACTTTCCTCGATTTTATTACCTGAGGGAACTTGACAGAACTTGTAAAGACACAATTGCTATATAACTTCCACCGGTCTATTTTTTTTGTTGTTGTTGTTGTTGTTTTTCTTCTTCAAAAGAAAGCCAAATCAAAACGCCGCGATAAGTTTTGTGAAGCCGAAACTCAGGAAAAACTGATATAAAGTGGTAACAAAAGAGGCGCGGAGGCTGAGCGGTGCTTCCTCGTCGTGCTGGGTGAGATCTACGGAGCAGAAAGAAACGTGCAAGCTCTACAGCAGGTGTAAACACAGGGAAAAAAAAAAATAATAATTTCACCGATGATTTAACATTAACAGTACCAGAAGTGACGTGAAACCGTCTACTAAAACGTTACCCTTTTCAGTCAATAGGTCGCAAAGTGTCTTAAATTCATTACTTGGCACTTATTGAAATTCGTGACGTTGGAAATGGATTAAAAAAGGTGAAGCAAACCTGAGTGAAACAAAATATATTGTACTGACAACAAATGTAATGAAATAACAGCATCTTTTTTCCTTTTTTTTTTTCTTTTTTCTTTTTAAAATAACTTAAAATACACTAGAAAAAATATGGTCAATATAAATAATTTTGTTTTCATGGAGAACAAATAGTTACAAAGCCCGTCCATACCAAAGTTCGCGTAGAAGAGCTTTCCCTCTGTCTTGGCAATAAGCATGAGGGTCTGATGGCAAACTGGGATAACAATTACCGACTGCAAGGTATCCCAGGTTAAATAGCTATACGTCTTTCAAATAATAACAAAAAAAAAAATCACAAGATTACGTGAATAGATACACCTTTATGAGATAAAATGTAAATGTTTGACAGTCAACTATCAATTCACAAGTTATAGCCAAAATAAACTTTGTTCGTGTGTATCAACATATTTTACATGTACCCAGTACCTCTTATTGGAATTTGCTGTTGTGTAAAGTGGTGGTTGGGAATTAAATACTCTTTTTTTTTTCTTTCTTTTTTTTTTGTTGTTTATTTGTTTTTGCCCTCAGGACAAGAGACCGGGCAAAGGGAGGCACACTCCGCTCTCCTGATGCTTTCCGCTCCCTTTTATTTCAGAGGTGGGACAGCAAACGACCAACAAAGATTTCAGAGTGGAAAAGGTAGTGCTTGATCTCCCTCTCTCTTTCTGCTTCCCTCCAAGATTAAAAGAGAAAGAGCCCAGCCACGTTTGTTTGTTTTGTTTTGGGTTTTTTTTTTTCTACTAAAGATGAGGGTGAAGTGCAAGTGAATCAAAGGACTCCATCAATGAAATACAAATACATGCAACCCGGAATGCTGCTGGAGGAAGTATCCCGGACAGTTTCCCATTAGAAATTCGCAGAGAAATCATTGTCTCTTTTTTTTTTTTTTTTTTTTTTTTTTCCTCTTCGTCATCGTCTTTCTCTCTTCTTTTTGTCGCTATTCCAGACGTGGTTGTTAAACTCAAGTATCTGATGCAACGTGAAAGGAGGCCCGCCTCTCTTATCAAATTTCTTGTATTAAAGTGAACTTCGCAGAAAAAGGTCATTTTCAAAACCTGTGAACTTCCCAGCTGCGCGTCTAGTTCCTCTAATTCTTTAAATAAGTATAATATCTCCCGTCAGTTTCTCCTCTCTCTGGTGTTTTTTTTTTTTTTTTAATTTTTTTGTCCTTTTCCCTTTTTTATTTTTTAATAATAATAAAAAAAAAAAAAAAAAAAAAAGCCGAAGCGAGCGGGTCACAGCCCCAGGGCGGCGGCGTGTTTCTTGGCTTTGAGGCGGAGGTCGGCGATGCTGGAGTTCTTGCTGGTGGTCTTGGCTGCGGCGGCGGCGGCCACCACGGAGGCGGCGGAGGCGGACTCGGCCAGCGTGGCTAGCGGTAGCCCGAAGGGGGGAGCGGGGAACATCATGTAGGGTGCGTGGGCCAGGTGCGGGTGGAGGTGGTGGTGGGCGTGGGCCACGGCGCTGTCCAGCTGCAGCTGCGCCTGAACCTGCGGGGTGGGGTGGGGGGAAAAGGAAAAAAAAAAAAAAAAAAAAAAAAAAAAAAAAAAAAAAAAAGGGGCCGTGCGTGGCAGCCACCCCCCGCCATCCATCCCGCGTGGGTGTCTTCCCCACCCACTCGCGCCCCGCCGCCCACTTGCCTGCTGGAAGGGCATCCGCAGCGCGCCCACGTTCACGTACGGGGCCACCCGGCAGGCTTCGAACTGGCTGGCGGCGCCGATCAGCACCCCTGCGAGAAGCAAGCGTGGTCTGCGTGGGTCTGCCCCCACTCGCGGCGCTCCGCACACCACCCCCACCACCCCCCCTTCCCCAGTACCTTTGTGGAGTTGGTTTTCTTGCTTTCGGCATTTGGCTCTTCGGTTCTGGAACCAAACCTGCGGGGAGAAGGGGGGGGGGGGGGTGGGGAACGGGACACGCGAGGGGGACACGGGTGTCACGGCGGGGAGGACGCGAAGCACCCCCCCCAAAAAAACCAAACCAAACCAAAACCACAAAATAAGTTAAACCCGCCGAGAATAATAATATTAATAAAAACCCCAACGAGCCGGCAGACAAAGAAACCCGGCTGCGGCTCCCGGGCAGCCCCCGCTCATGAGCTGCGAAACGCCAAAGGCAAGGGGGGGGGGGGGGGGGGGGGGGGAGGCAAAATACACGGAAAAATGGACCTGCGCAGAGTGCTCCTTCCAGAGAAATTACTTTCTGAGCCCCGGGTTCGTCTTTCCACATCAGGGTCCCAAAAGACTTAAATCGCCCCTTGATATCTAATACGAACTGGCGATAATGGGTTTGGATGTTTGCAGCGTCAGGCCTGAGAAGATCATGCTCATTAATAAATAAATTAATTAGCCTTATCTTCAAGAAAAACTAAACACCAAAGACTTTAATGACTCCTTTTTTTTTTTTTTTTTTTGTGTGTGTGTGTCTCTGTGTGTATGTGTGTGGGGGTAATTACTGTTCTAAAAGCTTCGCTACAAAGAAGTTTAGAATTTCTCTGTTCCTCTGTGCAGTGGAGTGTAGCACAGAAGCGGAATAATTGTCTCATTATCATGATAATCTAATTTGCTTCTACAGAAAAGGCTGCGCGTTAGACAAGAACATACTTTTAATATTGGAAATGGAATTGTCGAAATAAATTTCCAGAATAAAGTTCTGCTCGATTAGAGAGAGGGGAGGGAGGGAAGGAGTGAGAGCGCGTCTTAAAACATTCCTGGTTAAAGACAGACCTCTGCACCGCATCTCAGAAGCCACATCCACCGAGCAATCCTTTCCCCACGGCCAGAAAAAAAAAAAAATAACAAAAAAATTTATTTTTTGAGGTCTCACTTGAAGAGACAAATATAAATGCGAATTTCCCCCGCCCTGTCATTTACTTCAGCCAAGCAAAATCTGCCAACAGCCATATTCGCCCTCAGCCTCCCGTGGAAACGCACATTCCATAATTTACAAATTAGTGCAGATGCGAGGCAAAATATTACTGCAAAGCGTTTTCCGGAACGATTTAAAGGGAATGGGTTTAATCTATGTAAATCTCTAAAAGTTATTATGCACCCTGCGATTTGGTATAATGGGAGCGCGGATTATGCGCCGCCGCCGCCGCGTTTCTTTGTCGAGCAAACAGCCAGCAGAAGGAAGCACCTCCCTTTTACATTTTTCATAGCCAAGTTGAAGCCCTGCAACTTTCTTCGGTTTGGTTAAGATTTGCTGCGTGTAAAAAAAAAAGCGCCCGCAAAAACCGGGGGAGCAGGAAAGTGAAGGATCCTTTTTATTTTTGTGTTGTTGTTTTTTGGTTTGTTTTTTTTTTTTTTTTTATTATTTATTTTTGGGTGGGTCAGGCTGTGATGATAAAAGCTGCTTATTAATACTTTTTCGGTTCAACGTGAGCGCTCTGTTTCTGTCCTTACCCCGGTACGAGATGCAGGGAAACCCCCCAAGGATTGTGCGCATAGTTGGGTGCAGATGGTGGCCTACGAGCACAAAGATTGAGGGGGAGTATCTGTTACAGCAATACTTTAACAGCTGCAGATGTTAGGGGCCTAAAACTACTCCATGTGTTCAAACAAATAATGACCATCATTTTCTCTTCTTTTATTATTAGAACGGAAATAAACCGGAGCAGCTACATTTGTTCTCATTTGAGGAGTTACCTTCCTCCTCAGCCGGGCAAAGCCCGAAGCCTTCCTCACTCTTCATCTCATCCCGACAAAACTGGCAGAAATCAGTCCAGGAACCGATTTGGGAAAACTTTGGGAGGGCAGCCCGAGGTTAAACGCGCAGGTTAAAAAAAAAAAAAAAAAAAAAAAAAAAAAAATCAAAGAAAGCTGCGGCTTCTCGGTACGGGAAAGCGCTTGAAGTAGCCTGGGTTTATCCCAGACTTTTGTATTTCATAAATCCGAACAAAGCCGGTCTTGTGCACTTGGTTGAATTTTCGTGTCGCTTCCCTCAAGATTTAAGAACTACGACGAGAAATGGACTGTAATTTTTTTTTTTTTTTTTTTTTGCGCACTTAGCAGTTCCTAATTTAGTTTATGGTCACTACATCTATAAAGTTAATTAACACGCCCGCCCGGTAAACCCCGAGCCGGGAGCAGCCCGGAGAGGGACCGCACCAACAAAATCCTCGTTGTAGCTCTCGCCGAGGCGGAGATAAAACAAACGCAGAGACGAAATAAAACGCGCCGGAGCGAGGGGCAGGAGACTCGAGAGGAGTCAACCCCCGCCCCACCGCGAAAACCCCGCGTGGGGTGCGTGGTTTTACAGGTTCGCTGGATACAGCCCGTGTCCGGAGCGGCGGGGACGGGGCCCGGCCGGATTTTAGCGAGCTGGTCCCTTCCACCGGGCTCACCCCCCCCCCCCCGCCCCACGCACACGGGCAACCCACGCATCCCCGCAGCCTTGCCACGGCTTGGCTACCTGCACCCTGGCCTCGGATAGCCCCAGCCGCTGGCTCAGCTCCTCCCGCATGAAGGCGTCCGGGTAGTGGGTTTCGTCGAAAAGCCTTTCCAGCTCGTTCAGCTGCTCCAGGGTGAAATTCGTCCGGCTCCTCCTCTGCTTGATTTTCGTCTGCCCTTCGTCTTCCATCGCTTTCGCATCCTCCTTGCGATCCTTCAGCTCTGGGGAGACTGGGCACGGACACGGGCGGTCAGACAGGCCGACACGGGGGACCGTGAGGGTGACAGCGCCGGGGGGAGGCAGCGAGGACACCGGAGCTCCCCCCCCCCCCACCTCAGCCCACCGCTCCCCTCCACGACACAGGCTCCCGTGGGGAGCCACGCAGGACCCCCCCCCCCCCCCAACCTCCATCGCCCCGGGGTTGGGGCAGCGGGGCCTGCGCACCCGCGCAAAACCCGCCTCGGCCGCTGCCTATCCGGGCCCCGGTAACGGCCTCCCCGCACCGACCCCACGGCGCCCGTGGGCTCCAGCCCCGGAGGAAAAACGTAGCAACAGGTCCCCGGTACGCTCCGCGGCTCACCGCGGCCCCTCCGCGCCCCGCTTTCTCCCGGAGGGTTTTGTTTTCGTTGGCTCTGCGCGGACCCCCCGCGGGACTTCCGCGCCGCGGAGCTGCCCGCTCGGCCCAGCCCCGCTTGCCGGTTCCCCCCGCGCCCCGCTCGTTAACACGAATTTATTTATTAGCCTTTGCCCGGGGATGCTCCCTGCCGCGCTTGTCCGAACAAAAGAAAGGTAGCGAACCGCGGGTCCCCGCGCAGCGACGGGGACCGGCCCTGCCCCACCGCCGGGCGCGGAGATTCCGCGCTGCTGCTGCTCCTCCGGCGCGGCCCGGCCGCCTTCCCGCGGCTACCGAGAGCGGCACCGCGGCTACCGCCCCGGCGCGGAAAAACCGCGGGGGACATTGCCGAAGAAAGCCGCGGAGAAAGGGCGCGGAGACGGGGGAGGGGAGGGTGAGCGTCCTGCAGCGCGGCCCGGCCCCACGCGCGTCCGCGCTGTCGTTGGCAGCGCGGCTCTCCCGTGGGATGCTAAACAGGAACAGAGCGCGTTAGGAGCAAGTTAAACGCTTGTTTCAATATTTTAATATAAACTTCGAGGCTGGGCGCATATTTCCCCGTAATTGGGAAAAGCTGGGAAGCCGCCCGTTTAAACGCTTATCGCAGCCGCCCCACGGGCGCTGCGGAGCCCTTTCCCACCCGCGACCGCGCTACGGTTCGCGGCCATCGCCCGCTCCCGCCTCCGCTCCGCGCGTACCGACCCCTCCGGGGATGTAGGGGGAGAGGGGAAGGGAAGATTCGGGGACCCCCCCCGGTGCCGCCGTTACCGTCGCTGAGCTTTGGGGTGGCCGCCTCGGCCGCTCTCTCGGCGGCGTCGGGCTCCCGCGGCGGGGACCGCCCGCCGCCCACCCGCGCCGTGGGGCTGCCCGTTTCGTCTCGTCCCGGTTCCGCCGCGGTTCCCCCGTTCTCCCGCGATCCGCCGCCGCGTAGGGGTCCGCTCTCCAGCACCTCGCGGTAGGTGATGAGCTCCTTCTTCTCCTTCGTTTTGGGATCAAACGACTTGGAGACAAACGCCGTCAGCTCCTCCATGGCCGCGGCTCAGGGGCGCGCTGCCCCGCGTCCCCGGGTGGGCATCCACGGGGCGGGGTGGCGGTGCCCCCGTGGGCCGTGTCGTGCCGTGCCGCTCGACGTGGAGGGCTCTCGGGGTCTGAGAGCGACGCCGCGATTGAAGTGGCACTATTTATACTTTGCAAAGCCTGCCCCTTGTTCCCGGCGAATTACCTCCCCTCGGAGCTCTGACTGGAGCCCTTCTCCGCCGCCCGGCCGCGCTCGCCCACCGCGGGGCACTGCGGCCAGGGCACCTCCGGCCCTCCCGCCCGCTGCGCCCTAATTAATTTAATTAAGCGCGGGCCCCTCTTCGAGGTCCCGGGCGAGCGCGGCGCGGGAGAGGGGCCGGAGCTGCGGGGGAGTGGCCAAGGCGGGGGTGGGGGGGGGGGAAGGAGAAGAAGGAGGGGGGGGGGGGTGCGCATTATCCGCGCACCGCCCCGCGGGGAGGGGGGGTGTAGGGGAGGCCCCCCGGGGCCATGGTAAAGGGCTTGAATCGCCCCCCCCCCCCGGGGAGCAGCGGGGAAAAGTTCCCGCGTGGACGCCGAAATCCACCCAAGTAAATTCGCGGGCAATTGGCAGTGACAAATACAGCCGTGTCATTAACGTTTCCTCAGACGGAGGACTGAGGCATCAGATTAGGGCGAATCACGCTATTTATTGCTAATATTGTTTTTCCTTTGTTGTTTAAATCCCATTAAGTGAGTACTTTTGTTGACAGAAGTCGTCTCTTTTACACCTTCGCTAGAATTCTAATAAATTATTCAAAATTCTTTAACTCTTGCTTATGTATTGATTTTTCATTTGACCTTTGGAAAGATGACTTTACATAAAAGAGCGTTTATTTACTCGGGCAGGTACGGTGTCGGGGACGGAATTAGCGTTTCTTCAGATCCAATTACCCACGCCGCGCCCGCGATGGGTAACGATTTACCTTTACCCCGTTTCGGGCGGCAGAGCGGGTCCCGCCGCTCGTGGAACCGGTCCCCGCGTGTCCCCGCTCCGCCCCGGGGGAGGACATTTTCGGGACGTGGGGGGATCGGACACCGGTGGGGAGAAACCGGCCCTGTGTTGCTGAGCGGGAAGACGATCGCCAGCGGCTCTTCCATCCCCACGTTTCGTTTATCCTCACGCCACGCTTCGGGATTCCCGTGGCGGGGGAGCGTGTGCTGGGAAACTCGCCTTAAACTCACCCAATTCGTCAAAAGGCAGAGAATTAAGTGTGGGGATTAAATCGTTTCGATGCATTTCAGCCCCGGCGGAGGCTGAGCTCGGGATCGGCTCCCCCCGCGACCGCGGCGCTTCCCTTTCCCCGCGGCACAGCGGTACCCACGACGCGGGGGGAGCCCTGCCCCTTCGTCCACGGGGGTGGGTGGTCGTCAGGGCGGCAAAACACCGACCCTCGTCCCGCACTTCGAGCAGAATAGACGAACCCCGCCACTTCCCCCGCGGAGCCCGTCACCCACGGCGGGTGGTGGTGGTGTGGGGGGGGTAGGCAGACCGCCGCGTCACGGCAACGTGCCACTGAACCGTTCGAGGTTACCACCGCGCTGCAGCCGCCCGTGGGGCAGCGGGGCCGCCGGTCACGCGTGGGACAAGGCGGGGGTTAGGGGGTGGGGGGGGGGTGGTGGAATCGCTCCGCTGAGAGCGCCCCGCATCGATTCCTCGGCGCTCGGCGGCGCCGCCTGGCCGCCTGGATGAGCTCGGCGGTGTCTTGCTGCTGCCTGCCCGCCGCCCAGGAAGGCGCTGAGCTCAAACCGGCGGCTGCGGCCCGGAGGCTCCGGTGCTCCCGCGGCCCGGCCCGGCCGCTCCGGTGCCCAGGTAACGCGGCCGGGGTCCGGCGGCGACCCCACACTCCCCTCCTCTTTCCCGCAGGGTAGATGGGTAAGGGAGCCACGGGCGGCCGCCGCCGCGGGAGCTGGGCGCGCCCTGCGGCCTGCTGCCGCTTCTCAGGGCCGCGGCTGCAGCGCCGGGGGCTGCGGGGCTCGGCCCGACGCCGGGTCCTGCGGCTCCAGGGGTGGGAAAGCTGTGGGTTGTTTCCCCTCCTTCCTCCCGCCCTGCTGCCGGGCTCGGCTGAGGAGTCCGGATGGAGGGGGGGTGTGTGGTAACAGCAGCCATAAGCGTGTCCGTTCCTCCTAGGAGTAACCCAGGAGTAGTCTGGGTGCGGGGGCAGGGGGGCACCCGGCCCTTCTTAAATTTCCTTTTCCTCTTGCTGCGGACTAGCAGGGCCCGGCTGGTGTGAGGGGGGAGCTCGTAGCATCTGTCCCTGCCCTTGGGATCCACTTTGTGTGTTGGTGCACAGGGTGGTAAGAGGAAGTTATTCGTGTGGAATCTTACTTTCCCAGCTCTTTGGGAAAACACGGGTAAAGAAGATCTGAGGTTGGCTTTTTTTTTTCTGCCTCTGATGTGCTGTTGCTGGCAGCAGTCATTTTAGGTATTTTAATTTTACATTTACACTAAATACAGTTCTGGATGGTACTTTTTTGTTGTTGTTGTTGTTGTTCAGATATGAATAAAACCTGTTTTGAACAGTTTATCTGTTCTAATGATCTGGGACAGATTTTAACCCTGTTATTTTTAGTGGTTTATCATGATCCTACACCCCGTGAGCGAGGAAAGTATTTAGAACTTGATTTAAAAGAAATACCGAAAGCTGCATCATAAAGTTCAGAAAAACTTAGTTGATCTGTAAGCTTGTTCCGAAAGCTTGGAAGAAATGTTGATTAATGAATGTCCTTAGTGAACTTCCTTGGGCTGATCTACACAATAGGAACGTTTGTAGTTTTTGCTGCCTTCAGGTATGGAAAATGTAGTTATGCAGTGGAAGGCCTGTTTGTAGAATTAAGAATTATTGAGCAGAAAGTGGCTTGTGGCGGGGAGGTCTCTTGGTGGAGGAGCATCCTACTAGGGTTTCAGGTCTTGGTTCAATTCTTCACTGTGCTGTTGGTGTCCCGGATGGCCGTGGGCATGTGATGTTTTCCCCACACTTTGAAATCTAAAGATAAACTGAATTATGGAATACTGTTCTTAAAAATAAATTGTTCATTCATGATTTTGAATGGAGGCAAACTTTCTTCAAGTTCAAAATGAACGATTTTGAAAAATACTGTTGATTCGTTAGTCGAAGAGGACATCTTTTACGTAACCAGAAGCCAGTGGTGTTCTGGTATGTTTGGTGTCTGTGGATTCTTGTTCCCGTGGGAGAGACTGTAAGAAAATAATTGAATTCCTGTGACTCTTTAATCTCTAGACTTTCTTCTGAGGTGACCCGTTATGGTAGCTGTCTTGGTAGGTGTGATTCAGGTTCTCCTCCTGTAGTGATTTGGAAATTTGGCTAAGGGAAAGAAGCCCAGCTGGGTAAGTATGTAAAATCAACAGCAATTCACGCTGCTGCCCTCATAAGAGCAGCCACCTTATTGTCTTTTCTAATCAAATCTCTTCCTCTACTGAGAGCAGTTTTTCTGAATTGTAGAGCAGAGACAGTTTCCACATAACTACAAGCTTGGTGGAGGTAGATACAAAGACAGTCTTTGATCTGTACACACACAGAAGCTGTCTAAGAAGGGACTTCTACCCTCTGCCTGTTTGTGGTTTCCCTTTTTTGGGGAGCAGCGTTGCCATTAAGAAAACTGTGCCTCCTACTTACTATCTAGTTGAGCGTGTTTGTCGAGAATTTAAAATAAATTTTACTTCAGTTAGCCTTGTTTCCTGGCCAAAGCTCAAGTAGAGTCTCATCCTGACGTGTTGATTCTTTCCTGGAGATGGACTCGTGCAGTTCAGCAGCGAAGGGGATATTGAGGTGGTTGCAGTCTATTTTTCTATCAATGCCCTTCTAATCGATTATGATTTCTTAAAGGATTTTGTTTGTAGTGTTGCTACATAAACAGCACAGGTGGTTAGTGATTATTGTAAGTCAGTTACAATCAAAATTTCTTAGTAACTAACAGACATAAATCGTTTGGATTTAATGCTGAACAAATGTGGAGGTCATTTTGTCTCCACTTCTGGCTGATTATGGTAACTAAAGATTGTAATGTTTAATTGGATGCTGTGCTCAGGGTGCAGTCTGCTGCAGTAATGTGTACTGGATAACAGGCTCTGATTAAAAACAACCAGTTGATAGTATTTTCTGACCATCTACAGTAAGTACAGCAGTAATTTGAAACTCACATTTGAAAATATGTATTGCACACTTGAAATAATTCTAATGTCTATGCAGCAAGATTGAACAGGGTCAGATCAATGAGTGTATACTTGCTACTGTGTTTTATAGTGTACCTTACTCTATTTGAATAGATTTTTCTAGAGAAGTCTGTCTCCTGTGTCATCTATGTTTTTAAATGCAGGGTAGGAGGTTACTTAGCTGTTTGCAGGTGAGCTTGACAGCGCTGTTTATAACTTTTCAAACCAACTATTTACGTTTGCCAATTTCTGATGGTGATGTTTCTCTTGGCAGAATGCCTGTATGAGAGTATGCACTTTGTTTTCCTTTCAACCAAAGTGTTGCAGCTTCAGTTTTCAGAAACAAACAAAAATTAACTGTTAAAAAAAGAAAGGCATGGAGACCTGTCTTTTAGATACTCTAATGTGCCTGTGCTCCAGTATGGGGACTTAAAATTTATCAGGTCCTGATAATTTATTGGTCATCCTATGGAAAAGCTGTTCTGTTTCAGACAAACTACAAGCCTTCAAGATGATGAAGCTCACACACATTCCCTAGAGCCTTCAAAACTCCTTAAGTGGCTAGTTAATTTGGTGATGTTATGTTCCAGCTCAGGCTTCAGCAGGAGTTTCCATGTAGCTGCTGTGGGTCCTCATATCTTGAGACAGCATCTTCTGAATGCTCAGTGCTCCTTCGCTGTCTGACCAGAGCAGTTAAATGTAAATGCAGAAGTGGGTGAGGGGATATGCTGAGAGTGGATGAGAAACACGCAGGGGGAAGGTTGGGGCAGGGTGATGGAAAAGAATGACTCACTGACATGATGGTCAGGAGACTCTCTTCCCACGGATACCTGGGATGTAACCCAGGTTCTGAGTTCACCTGAAACCATTAATTTACTGTTGGTGCTTCATTTGCCTTTCCTGCCTCCTCTTCTCCTAGTATTGCTCCATGATCAGGAGAAAAGCCCCTTGTGTCTCAGCAGGCGTTGAGAGCTGTATCTTCCACAGGGTCTACATGTAAAAAGGGGTTGGCAGCAGCTTATTTCTTATTGCAAAAACATATGGCTTAACGCTTCTGCTGAACAAGTAAGGGTAAGGAGCCTTACAAATGGGATTCCCCATAACTATAGGGGTGAACTCTCTCATGTCACTCTGGCAGAACTCTTTGTGGTGGATCTACAGACTCTGTATGGAAACAGACAGGTAGGAACACCCTGTGAAATTCAGCATATGGTGCCATGTAACGAGTCTTATTTTTTTCTGTTTGCCTTTTCTTCCTCTCTGCCTCACCTCCCCCCATTCTTTTGCTAATGAAGGTTCCCTGAGTGATCTTGGTTCTCCTCTGTGATCTATAGGTGCTATTACACAGTCCTGTGTGTGGAAATGGTATATGGACCACTGCCGACTCACCAGAACGACTCTTCTGTCCAACAGGCTTCAGCTGGTGTGATCAGCCAATGCTGACAATCCCTTTTCCCAGGTCTGTTCAGGAGTGTGGAGGGAGTGGGCTGTAGTCAGGGAGGATACTAACCTGTTCCAGGTCCTGATAACTGACTGCTCTCAAGTGCTATGTCTGTAAGAGGCATCTTTCCAGGAAAATGCATGTCAAAAGGGATGGTCTAAAGACCTTGGTGAAAGGTAGTGCCTGTCAGATGAAGTTGTCAGTCGCCTGTGTACTTCCAAGATATGCCCCTAGGAGACAGCTGCTAGGAGTTGGCTGCACGAATCGTTCCAGGATCAACAGTCTGCTTTCTGCTTCTGGCAACTTCTTTTCCAGTGGGAGCTCTAGAACATGCAGGGCATCCGTCACCCACACGCCTTTGTCCTGTAGCTCATCCACAGTAAACCCAGTGCTCCTGGAGCTCCCGAGGCTCGAGTGTGTGCCCGTAAGATGTTGGGCTTGTCCTGGGATAGAGAAGGGCCACGGCCTGTAGTTCTTCTTTGGTCCTGAAGATAAATTGAGATTACGTAGTATGTTTCTCTAGTTTTGTGTGCTGCTTAATCCAGTTGTATGTCCAAATGGGGAAGAAAACTGATGGCAAAAAAAGGAAGCTGAACAACGGGCATATATATGTTGAGGTATAATGATCTGGCTCATAATGGTGCCCACATCAACTGGCAAATATCTCGGCAGAAATGTCTTTTGTACTCTTTGTTTCTCTGGTCTCTTTCATTAATCTTACTGTCATGGGCTGTGGTCCGTGAGCATTTAACTTAAAACCTGTGCATTGTAGTTTCATCTTTCTGAGCAGTTCCGCTTATTTTAAGTTTGAGATTCAGGTTCATGTTCGTTTGAAGATTGTTCTATCAGTATATATTTGAAAAGCTTTATTTGACTGTTCAATAACTGTTAGTACCTTGGAGCTCTAAATCTTTTACTGAAAGGGGAAAAAAGATAAAATGACTGCACAAGATGGTGTGTTGATAGAAATTGTCATTCCTCTGCAGAATTGTAAACTAAAGTCGTAATACCTTAAATGAGATAAAGTGGTCTGTAAAGTACTGCTTCTGTCTTTTTCAAAGTCTGTGTGGGATAACTTTAGTAAGATGGTGGAAAAAACTTCATTTAAAAAAGAAATTCTCTTGCATAGCAGTTCATCCTCCTAAAATTCTGCTGTTCTAGGTGCATGGATATTTGCTGGTTTAAGTTGAGTATTCCAAACCCGCTTTGTTTAGATTATTAGCTGAAGGACCAGATCTGAAATGCTGCAAACAGAAACTATTGAGAAGTGAGGTATGTACACAGAGGGACTTACTGCAGCAAGGCTTAGTAACGGCTAATTTGTAGGCACTGGTGGCTGCAGGAGTGGAACCGATAGTTCTGGGTTGTGTGGCGAAGAGCTGTCTGCAATCCACGGAGATTTGGCTCCGTAGGAACGCGTTTATGTAGCTAGTAAACTCTAGTGAACATCCAAGAAAATCCACGTATTTAGGGGACTGTCTTGTATTTTGCATTAAGCAACTGTTGGGTAAAAATATGGAAACTCTCCTTGAATTAAATGCCGGGTCCAGAACTTGGCGCTTCCCAGGAGGACGTCCCTTTGACTTGTGGCTTCCTCGCCCTGGCTCCGTGTCTCAATCTGACCAGCAAACCTGCATCTCTGACATAGTCTTCAAATTCTGGGAAACGCAGCATTGGCTGCATGTTTATTGTACTTCAAATATAGCTACCCGAAAGGCTCCCTTGGGAAACTTGGTTACGGTACGCTGACTTTGGGTGTTTAGGTATATCAGTGTAGGATCATAGCAAGTACGATCTACTGCAAAACAGTTTTAGCTGTCTTGGGAGCTTGAGGGTGAAAATGTAGGTTTGAGAGACTTTGTCTGTGGAACTAAAAGTGATTTTATTTTTTTGCAGTCGTACATTTTGACTGAAGGGCCTAGCGTAATCAAGATTTGGATTTGCTTGTAAACCTTTTGTGAATTTAAGCCTAAACATACTTAATGGTGAATTTCCCTTTTGTTCTGTTTTCAGTCCCTACCGTGGAGATTAGGGCCTGCTGCCTGGGTGGTAAAAGGTGTGAGGAAGGGCAAAAGTTTGTATGCAGAAAACGAACAAGTTCATGCTACAAATATGAGGACCCGTAATATTTCAGTGTTGGTTAAAGATCGGCGATATTGCGTCAAAATATATCCGCAATCTAGCTGTTGATATGAATGTTGAAGTACTACAAATTCCTGTTTTTCCAGTGCAGAAGTCGCTAGGGAGCCTTGAAATCCCTGTTTGCTCTTGGGAAGAGGGGCTGTTACCAACCTTTAGTTCAGGTGTGTGTGAAGAAGGGTCCTGAAGTCGGGGCGGGGGGTTTTAGGGCTGATACTGCTGGGGCAGAAAAAGAGTTTTAAAGCATTGGGCGCTTTTTGTAGCCTGGAAAGTCAAGTAATTGTCAATAAAAAATTAATTGTGAAGCAATGAAATGGATATCTTGGGAGTTCAGAGTGAAGATGATAGTCTTTGCAATAATTAATAAATGGCAGGCTTCCCCACCCCCCATTTTTTTTCAAGTCTGTTATCAAAAGCTGTAAAATTTGTCCAAGTAAACACATTGGCAATCAAGAAACATTTCTGAAATGCAGCATTTATAGTCATATAAATTTATTATATATGATTTTGGAGTAAAGCAGTTTGAAGTTGAATAGATCTAAACCGAGAACCAAAATCAACCTAACTCCAGTTTAAATTAATTCAAAAATAACTTCCTAGAAATTTTATCTCAGTGTATGTTTTAAATATGACAAATAGGACAAAAAACGTACATTATTTTAATTGCATAACCTAAAACCACATGAAGTGAGTCACATCAGTAGCTGAAATCAATAGACTGCGTTCTATTGATTGTGCAAGTATTACGGATCTTAATTTATAACTGTAAATTAAACATATTAAAGATGCTGTACTACTGATTGCATAGCATTTTAAAGAGAAATACTGGTTACTAGAAGTATCTTATACATTTCTCCCCAAATTTCTGAAAATTTAATACCTAAGGCAAAAATGTGAAAATAAGCTAAAATGAAAATAGGTTCTGATGTAGAAATTATCAGTGCATTTATTTGTTTGAATAGTTGTGAAATCTTTTGTGAAAATTTACAAGTAGTTGATACCATAACAAATGAATTAAAAGTTGCTGACAGTGTAAATTTCAAGTTACTTAGTAACATGAATTCGATGTCTTATGTTAAAATCTTAATTTTTATTTTTTGCCTGCAAACCAAATTTTCTCTTCACGTGATGACTTTTAAAATAGTATAATGATATGTTTGTTTATATATGCATGCACTATTTTTTTTGATATCTATAACAACTTAATGTAGACACAAGACTTTCTTACAGTTTAGAATTTCTGTTTTTACATAGTTTAAAAATGGGACGTCGCTCCTCAGACACAGAAGAAGAGAACAGAAGCAGAAGGAAAAAGAAACACCGCAGGCGTTCGTCTTCAAGTAGCTCCTCAGACAGCAGAACGTACAGCCGTAAAAAATCTGGAAGGAAATCAAGGTCAAGGTCGCGGTCTCGAGATCTTCAGTCTCGTTCACATTCTTATGAGAAAAGGTGCAGTTGTAATTTACTGTCTGTTGCAGTTGTTTGCAAATCGAGCTCTTTCGTATTATGGCAGAAAGCTGGAAGTGTTTGAAGGCAATGTGTAGTCAGTTCTAGGTTGGAATTTTATAGCAAAGTTTGCTCTGAATCTTGGAAAATGTGGCAATATTTCCACTTGCATTTAAAGAAAAAAAACCAAAACCACCACCAAAAAAACCCAAAATACCTTTCCCCCTTCCAATAATATAATCCCAGTGTATCTGCAGATCCAAAGGTAACTTCCTTATTAAAACAGACAGAAACCAGCCAAGTAAAATAACTTTTCCTTTCTCCTCCTTCCAAATAACGAATTTGGAATCTCTTTTTGGAAATGTAATAGTTCATACATTAACCCCAGTTAGTAAAGTAGTTTCATTCAACTAGTTACAGACTTTGTTACCTTTTTTTTGTTCCTGTTGTAATAAACAGAGTGGGTCTTTCCAGACAACAGGGTAGACTTTTTTTTCAGTCGAAAGACTTGGGGTGATTTCACAGTAGGTCTACACGTTTGCTGCAACAGGTAGTTTTCACCATTATTCTTGCTATTTTTCAAGCGTACAGAATACGGTAGTCAGCCAGGTGTTTAGAACACAGATCACGTGGCTATATCTACCAATTTTTTCATGACCTAACGCTGTATTTCCTTCACCAGGGGCCCCTTTCAGTACCTGACCTTTTTAGATTGGGTACGCACCCCTGGTTGTGGCTCAGTCTCACTTGCACTGCTCCTGGAGTCAAACTGATGGTCGATTTATTAGTAAGCAGAGCTAGAAAATACTCATTATGTCTCGCTGCCCTGTAAATATATCAGATACTGCTCCTCACAAACCTTTCTTTAGCTGGCAGAAGAGTGTGTGAGTGAGGGGCAAGTTGGCTGGTTGTGGGGGGGTTTCTTACCACCCCCCCCTTTCTTCTGTTCCTGCTTCGCATCTCCATGCAGCCCTTAGGGGACACAGTGAGATGACACGGGCTTCGATGCCAACAATATGCTGATGACATGCAGCTGTATGAATCTCTTTAGTCCAGTGCAGGCATGGCTATCTCGCAGATAAAAACAGAGCTTGAAGGGAGATTAGAGTCTGGACAAAGACCAGTTGACTTCAGTTGAATCCGGAAAAGACGAAAGTGTCTGCTTTTAGGATCTGGCTGGCACCTTCGCTTTGCTCTTAGTTTTGCTTACCCAGGAGCATTTGCTGCTGGCAGTTCGGTCACTCTGACACGCTGGGGTCCTGCTGGTTTTGTTCCTGACCCTTAAGAATCAAAAGCAGCAGTCTCTAAGATTACCGTTCTTCATTTAGCAGGAACATAACGTTCCTTTTTCAGATGAAGATCTCTTCTTTAGTAGTTAACCTATATAACTCTCCCAGTTTGGACTACTGCAGCACTACCTGTACGTAATACAGCACCTTTTCATTTATGCTAGATAAGCACCTACCACATTGACTGCATCCTGAATTCCAGAAGTGTTTCTACGTGGTGTTAGATTTTAATATTAATGAAACATATGAAAGGCCAAAAATATGGGGGTTCTCATAAGGATCGTAATTGTTATTTAGTTAGCTCTTCAGGAGATGGAGATGAAATTTTAAGATCAAGACTTGGCAGGTATCCTTCCACCCAGTTTGGGGATTAATTGGTTTAATTTATGTATTTAGTATCTGTTCTTTCGCCTTTTTCCTTTGTGTATAAGAATTTATTCTTTGAATAAATGAAACGGAAGGTTGGGTGGGAGGAGAAAAGGAAGATACCTTTCTGACTCCTGACTGAACTCAGGAGAAAACCTCCAAACTTAAATGGAATAAACGAACACTGATTATTTGATTACTAATAATACTAAAAGAAAAAAAAAAAAGGCAGGGGGAGGTTCTGTCTCCATCAGAGCAGAACAAAGATTACATGTTATGAAAGGTGAGATAACAAATCTATAAGGTTTTATACATATACATAAAATATTTTTAGGTGTGCACAACTTAAAATATGCTTTTATGTTTACATTTTATGTATGTACATATTATGACTGGAAATAATGGCATAGAGTAGCAGTGCAGAAGTTAACCTTTTATGAATTTCATTGTTAGTGCTGGAGTTGTAGTCCTTATCCCATACGGTGTATTTCTGGGTAAATCCTGCTGAGAATGTCGGTTCTCCGTGTTTCCTCAACCTTAGATTTGGCACAGAGGCAGTGAGTTCCAAAGAGCTGGTCGTGGGACTCAAAACCATTGAGAGCTGGGTTGTGTTTAAGGCTTTCCCCTTGAGCTATTGCATGGTTTTAGGCAAATCAGTTAACTTTTGTTTCTCTGTCTACCCTTTTTCTGTCTTGGGATGTGTATTTTAGAATATAAGCTCTTTGAGACAGGCATTGCCCATGTGTATGTGAATTACTTTTTACAGTGTAGTGATGGTATTTGAGGATTGTACAACATAATAAAAACCCCACAGGTTTGTGTGTCCCTTTTAAGTAAACAGTTAGGGGTTTTGTTCCTGTGTGGGTTTTGTTTTTTGTTTTTTTTTTTTTTTTTTAGCACACTAATAGCGTGACTTTGTTTTAGACGCAGACACAGATCGAGCAGTAGTTCTTCATATGGTTCTAGAAGAAAACGCAGTCGTAGCCGATCCAGGGGCAGAGGCAAATCCTACAGGTCTCAAAGATCGAGGTCAAAAAGTAGAACGAGAAGGTAAGACTCTTTTCTAGGAAAAAGAATTATTATTTCTACCTTAAAAACATTAGTTTAAAATCTCCATATAGTTATTGAGTTTGGAATATACTGGAAATAAGGGTTGCAAGTGATCCTCTAAACTACACGTCCCTTGAAACTCTTCCTAATTTGAAATCTCCATGCTGTGCTTTGGATGTGCTAAATCTTTAAATTATACTACTGGAACAATTGATTTTTGAAGATAAGTTACATATTTTGAATTTGACCAAGTGCAAAAAACATTAATAAAGTCACCTTGGTTTAACTGTAAACATCTGAAAATTTCTGGTGGATTTTTTTGGATTACTGATTTCCGTAACTCCCATACCTAACTTTGGCTCCCTGAAGATCAGACTAAACTGTTATTTTGTCATCTGTATTTCCCTTGGGAAGAGATGAGTATTTAGTTATGGAAATTTTTCTTGATTATTTAAAGACATCTATGGTGCCGAAATTTTTTTATAAATTGGATTGTGGGAAACGAATATTTTCAATAGTAAACATAATTTAAATATTTAAATCTTAATCAGGTGTTGCCAATTGTATTATAAAATCTGCTTCATACTCTTGTAATTAAAAGCAGCTCAATTTCTGTGTGTTTTTAAATAAAGTTTATCCCTGGATATCAGAATTACTGTCAGCATTTTCTATTGAATTTAAATTAATTATTGAGTGTATCAGACAGATCAAAGCTTTGACGATCTGCAAACACATACCAAAAGCCAGGTAATTTTGTGTACCTGCACTAAGAATGTAGTAAACCATGTTATTTTCATGTGCCAAATCAATAGAGCTGTTGCCTCTAAATGTTGAAAAATTGTTGTTGAAAGACAAAAACATTTCGCTTTCTCTTATTTGTATTCTCACATGACTTATTCACAGCTGTTCATTATAATAGTTGCCTGGACACTTCTTGCTACAGTGCCTTTGTAGTAGCAATTTGGTTATTTAAATTGTCTGATCTCTCTCTGAGTATACTTACCATCTGAGCTGTAGACCCCAGATAAGCTACTGCACTCTGTGTAGAAATAGTCCTGTAAATATCCACTGTTTTGCTAACAAAATCAGTTTTCAAATGATGAAATGTCAAAAGAGTAAGATGAAAATGAAGGTGTTTTTCAGTATGTCACATACTCAGCATTAGGATATACGATAATCTGATTTAAAGATCTCATTCTGATTGTAACAAGTATAAACTGCAAATCTCATTAGACATAGTCTAATGGTCGTCTTTTCCAAGGGATTTACTGATGTTAATTGTTATAGCAATATATGGAAATTATGTACCTACAAACTTTAAAAACATGAATGCTGTTTATTTCATTGTGTGCTAGGAAATATTGTGTATAAAATATTCTATGTATAAAATAGAACAGCTTTTCAGTATTACAGCTACAAAGGTATAGATGTGTGTCACTTTAAAGGATGTTGCTATTCAGAGACATGGTTCTTCAGGGAAATTTTTTGTAAATAAGATCCTAAATTATAACAGAAGAGTCTTTTAGCGTGTTGAAAGCATAAAACTAAAATGTTAAAAGCATAAAACTAAACCCAACAGGACACGCTGAATTCTTTATTGTAATTTTTTCCAAGTCTGCTCTCTGCTGTTCTGTTACACTGAGGATCCATGGATTAATCTTATTTCTGGAGAAGAGTTAAATAGGTTGCAGAAAGCTGCTACTAGAGGCCTGTGTTTCTCCTGTTTGTTAGCGTTGAGGCAGTGGCAGCGTTGCTAAATAGTTCTGTTCTTTGCAATCTCAAAATCTGTCTCATGCACTCGAGCGAAGATATGAGCAGCTTTCCTAAGAGGACTGAGTACATTGTGATTCTTCGGGCTGGAAAAGAGATCGTGGGGGAAAGAGGGAATATGATGGAGGGGTATAAAAAAAAAATTAATAAAACAGTGGTGTGAAAAGATGAATAAGGAACGAGTGCTTCCGATCTCCTCCAATGTAAGACCTGGGGCAGGCATGAAGGGAACGGAGTCAGCTGGTGGCTGATCCTAGTCAGACAAAAGGAGATGGTTCTTCTGGAGCACATAATTAAGCTGTGGAAGCCCTTGCTGTTGGAGGTGGTGAATACCAGAAGTTGAAATGAATTAAAAAAAGCAGTCAGGCGAGAAAAAAATCCATCCAAATCTGTTAAATGCGAAGAGACAATATTTGTCTTAAGAAATTTATGTATTTGTAGCTCTGAAGTGGAATTTTAATAAGAATTTGGCACCTCTAATTCGTTATCTTTTTTTGCTTGGGGTGGGACAGCTTATTTTGATACGACTTTTAGAGGTAAGTACTGAAGAAAACACATAAGCTAGCTGATCAAATGATCAAAGGTAACTCGGGCAGCCACCTTGTGTTAGTGTAGTAAAGAGCGTGGTACCCACTAAAGTGTTCTTGTTGACCTCCAGCTTGAGAACTGCCAGTGGCAGGGAGCAAAATCTCCTGACCCCCCTGAAAAGCAGCAATCTGAGATACAGCAGTGAAGTGAAGATCATCTCGATGCTACTTGTATTTGCAACGTTGCTGTTGTACCTTCAGAGTACCACCTTTAGGTCTCGGGCAACTGTGATGTTTTCTTTTTTTTTTTCCCCCAGTGGGAATGGGACCGAGACTAGAAAACTACTTTCACGTTGGAAGTTAAGATCTATTATGTGGTATCTTTAAATCACTGCATCTGGTTTTGGTAAAAGCCATGCAGGTGACACAAATTCTGTATCCCATAATGTCTTTTCTTCCCACAGTCCCCCATCAGATTAAGATAGTTTGTTTTTCAAGGTAGTGAAAATGTTGGTAAAAGTCTATGTGGCTGTAATGTAATTTTTTTTTTGTAATAACTTCTCAAACATAGGCAATTTACTTGAGTGAATGATTTACAGAGCTCCAACTGTGTAAAATACTGAAATAACAGGTTTTAATTTGAAAAGTTAGCTTTTTACAATGACATGTTTTAAAAATATTTTGAGTAGGTATTGCTTGTAACCTAAAATGATTTATTTGTCCTTTACTTTAGAAGATAAGAAAACTTGTGCATATTATAACTATTTTATTTTGGATGCATTTTTTAGAGTCGAAAAAGTGGGGCTTCCTTGTAATGCTATAAATTTAAAGCTGTCCTACAGCAAGATAGAACAATGCAAATGTGACTTAATAAGATCACAAACTGAATTTCAGCAAAACAACCAAGATTTACATTAAATTAGGAATTTTAAAACCGATTTAGTTTGTTTTACTGAGCATTTGCTTAATAACATTTTGCCTTCTTGCAATCTTTTTAAAGACAATAATTCGTCTGTGAAATGCAGGCACATCCTCAGTAGAAAAATTGAAAGCAACAGCTCACTTTCTGAAACCACACATACAGTGATATAAAGAAATATTTCAGCTCTACGAAATTTAATAAATCATCCCATTTCCTAATTTGATCATATTAGATGCTGATGTGGAAGAAGCATTTCAAATACCATCTCCTCATTAATATACATCAGTCTGGGGAATAGAATGGAATACTTATGCAGAGATGTCACAGTTACTGTTTCTTAGTTTACTAAGTGGAACAGGTTGATGTGATACTGGGTGCTATTTGTCAATGTCTTGCTAAAATGGTTTGGGTCGAGTTATGGAGTCCAGAAAGACGGCGGCTGATAAATCAAAAGTGGATTGAGTGGACAGGAGGCAGTGATTGATACTGTGACAGGATATGAAGAAAGGAATCTTGATACAAGCATGCATGATATTGAATATGAGAAGGAAAATGGCCCTGGAGTATGGATATTATTCAAGGAAATGAGAATAATAATATCATCTTGAAATTATTGCTGGGTGAAGATTAGGATAGTTCTTATTAGAATATTATGCTTCTCTGGAATGGAGAAACTCAGATTTCATGTAATTTCTATGTGGCTAGAGTTTTGTTAATAATTTTAGAGTTTCCATTGCAATTGTTCTGCAGGTTAATTGGGTATGAAAATGCTTACTTTACATCCGAACTTGTAATGAGAATCTTTTAATCCATGTAGCTTTAAATAGAATTAAGCAAAATATGCCAACCTTTATTCCTCAATTTCATACAATTCTGTGATTGTAGAGTATTTCACTCATTGCCTTTAAATCTGCAAGTTTGTTTTTATTGTCTGCCAAGTGTTTTTGGCTTTTCCCTTTGCGTTAAACTGAAGACTGCTGCCTTGAAATACCTTTAACACAATTCAACTTAAAGATTGACACAACAACTGCTAGTTCACCTCTACATATCTAAGAAGAAAAAATGTCATGTGTAAAGTAATCCTGTTCGTAGAATTGATGCCTTTGGACTGTCAGTGAAGGAAGTGTTTGATCAGTGTGTGTTTTGTTTTTGCTTTTGTTTTTTCCCCCCAGTGTGTGTGGGGGTACATGGGTATATCATATTTCTTTACCATTCTTCCATCCTAATTGATTTAATATTGAAATGTGTGCGTCTTATTGGAGCCCAGTGACAGGGCATCCTACTTCTTATGGGTGGCTTTGGAATAGAGTTGGGTTTTGGTATGAAAAAGCAGCTTGTTGACTGAGGTTGCCATTATCCTAGCAATGAAGACTAGAATTAACTCATGTTCAACCCTCGTAGCTTGCCAGAATTCCTTGTGTTTAGCACTTATGGTTTGTAATATTTAAAAATAGGGTCGGCTAGTCATGCAGAGAAGTGCAATGTGAAAAGGGTCATTAAATAAAAAAATTGTAACCCCCCCTAATTTATTTAAAATAATGCTGTGTTGGTATCCCTGCTGAATAGTCAGGTTCACAAATTTAGTGATCGCGACAGATAGTGTGATTTGCATTGCCTGGTTTGTGACACACAGGGATGATGGAATGATCAGAAAAGAATTCCTCACCACCCCTTTCTAGATGCATTTTCAGCACTGCTGCTTCAAACACAAACACAATGCTAGACAGTGCTTACCCTGGAGTTAGAGATGCTTGCCATTGGGTTTGATCTGTTCTCAGAGG